CGAGAGCAGGTAGCAGATGGGAAGATAAATTTGGAACACTGTAGAACTGAGAATCAGATTGCAGACATCATGGCGAAGGGAGTGCAAGTCGAAGTATTCAGAAGACTAAGAGCCATGGTGAACATAGATAGTTTAAACACAATGAATTAAGTGGTGTGTTAAATTGTAATCCAGTGTGTCAAAATTATGTGTCGAAAAGATTTGATTTGTTTTATATTTAAATAGATTTGATTTAAGTCTAGAATAAATTAGATTTGATTTAGTAACAAAAAGATATTTTAGGCTTTGGGCTTAGGGTGTAAGCTCAGTTATAAATAGAGGGAGTAACCCCTATTTTTGTAAGAAAGTCAAGCAAGCTATTCACTGTATTTTGCAGTTGCAAAGTGAATAAGAAAGTTTTCACAATTTGTAAGCAGAGAGAAACTCTACAGAAATTATTTGTCTTGTCTTCTTTTTTGTTTGTCTCATAATTAAATTGTCATTGTGGTAGAAATTCATCATAGACTTTGATGGATTTCCAACAAATTGAAGGTGAGCGATAATAGATTTGCAAAACTCTTTGATTTTCTGGATATATATTTTCTAGTTTTGATTTTAGTTGACAAGACAGGTGATCTCTGAGAACCTAAATTGAAGATGGGGTTTCTCATCATTGAAATAGACAAAAGTGAGATATGCATACTGAGACATTTTAATGTTCTTTGTATGTTTTTGCTAACAAGGTCAGTAGCACATATATTTATAGTTTTGGATCAATATGGATCTTAGAAACTCAACCTTGTCTCAGGTAATATTCTGAATATGTACTTCTGGATACACCCTGCTTTGTTTAGTGAAATTAGAGTGAGTCCGAAAATGTATTTCCGAATAAATTCATGGTATATTTTTTTTACAAAATGGGGTGGGTATAGATGTTCAGTTTCAAATAAACCCCTGACATTGTTTTTTTAATTGGGGTCCATCCGGAAATGTATTTCCGGAGTCACCTGTTACTGTTCATATAAAACATGTTTTATAAACAGAATTTGTTATAACACACAAAAATGTTGAAAACTTTGGAAAACTGAAACATACATTAAAATATATGAAAATGTATACATTTGACATTGTTAATATTAACCCAACATTTCATACAAAACACGTCTAACCACCTCAAAACACGTGTCACCCCCCCCCCCCCCCCCTAAATCTATATCTATGGGGGTTCCACATTTGAATTTTGTTTATTTGATTATCTTTCAAGCTTGCTCAACTTGGTGACTTCTTCCATCATATCCATAAAATGATTCGACCAAGTTTTAGCTTTATTTGTTGAATGAGTTGTCCACTCCAGTAATGTCAGTTGTATAGAACATCCTGATTTCAAATATACTTCAATAAAATGCAGTGATTTAGAAAGTCACCCAATACACATAATTTGATCAGTTGGATTTTGAGGTGGGACACTTCGCAGAGGAAAAATGTTTTTGACAACCCGTATATTGTTAGATCAATACATAACATATTGTATGCATTTGTTATAATATGACATATTTCAAGGAAGTGCATACATTTTTTCTCTGATGTCGGACCTCTAACACAAGGAATAAGAGATTCATGAATTGCATAAAAATATTAGTTTTCCCGTATAACATTGTGTATGATTCTTTATCTACCTTCAACTCTTTGATAAATTGCTGGCAGAAAAATGTATGATCCTCCACTTCTTTACCAAGAAAAGCATAAACAACTCGATAACCACAGTTACCATTACCTTCAACATTAATATTTGTGCATAAAAATCGACATCTCTTCGATGTATTGAATTTTTGGTAAAAATGGTGTAGGATATGATTTGATAACGTGAACTCCTTTGAAAAAAAATTTTGAGAGTTTGAAGTTGGAGAATCCGAAAAAAGTATGTCAACATGTTTGAAATTGAAAGGAGACAACTTCGTTGAATTGTCACTCGGTGTTGGTTTGACCTTTTTAGGAGCATCTTTTGCTTTTACCGGTTGAGACAATGGTTTTAAATATGTGGTTTTTGAATAAGCAACTTTGAATAAAGATTTTTTTTCTATGAATCTGTGTTCTAATACTATATTGTTGTGACTAAATGATGTTTGTATCTTATTATGCTGATTTTAGATCATTTAGTTCACAAAGTCTCAATCTCTACACAAATCACATTTACTATTTCCCAACCAGTTCTTTAGTGTAGCATGGGAAGATTCAACTTGGTTAGTTATTATATTTCTAAAGTATCTAACATGATTGGTCCAAGCATAACAATATCCTCTTTCACCTGGTCTAGGATTGTACTTTCAATATATTTCAAGAAATCTGAATATTCCTCACACACCTTCTTGAAAAGTATAACAAAATTAGCATATAAGTCTTTTGTAGAAGAATTTATTATAACATTTCAGACATCCATTATTATTTCCAGTATCAAGCTAGCTTTGACCATTTCTCATCTTCACTCTTTATTTGTTTGGTCCCTACCGCATGCTTAAGTCTACTTCTCACATTTTTTGTGATGTAATACCTACAAAATAATATGAATGAAGTATAAAACACCTTTTCAATCAAATTTATCAATGCGGTATCACGATTAGTGACAATGACCTTCAGCGTGTTCGCTTTTTACTTAAACATTGTCCGACACACTTCTAAAGCCCAAGTAACGTTGTCCTCTTTTTGTTTTCCAAGTAACGGGATAAGTCTTTTATGTGGAAGTTTGTACTTGTTGGTCTTATACGTTGAATCAATAATAAGTACAGTGAGAAATGTGTTGAACAATTTATGGAATCAGGATGAGTCTAAAATATATCTTGAGCGATTTCTCCATCCTCCATACTCGGTACCTAGATACATAATGGTTATTGTCTAGAAGTCTCAACAATTGTTGCATTTCAGTTTTATCCCTTCTTATCGTCTTATTGTTTCGAACACAAACATTGTATACTTGCTTGATATTTGAGATATTTTCGGGTTTTTTACGTTTCAAAGTTGCAAGTATGTTTTTGAATTGTACCATATTCAATGTCATGTCAGAAATGACTTCCTTCTTTTCAGGCATAAGGCGACATGCAATCCAATGAGATGATCGGCTAAGTTGTGACACATATCATGATTATGTGTATCACAAATCACATTAAATCTCCATTTATTATTTATCAAAAGATATTCACACAACTTAAAAGGACACTCACATTTCCTCGAGGCAATGTCATCTTATTTCAACTTTCGAATAGAAGTTGTGTGTTTGCCGCTTCTTTTGCATCTCAATGTCACAAATGTAAGTCATCTATATGAACCACTATCTGACCTTTTGATTAGGCATGACAACGGGACGGGCCGGGAGGTTCTTACCTCTCAAAACCCGAATCTGTATTCCCCATCCCAAACCCAAACGGAGATGGAGAATTAAAATTCAAACCCGTCCCAAAGAGGTTCGAGTATCCCGCCCCGCCACCATCCATTTAATAAAATCAATTTTTTTAATAAAAATATTTATTTATTTTTAAATCAAATTATATTAGAAATATCAAAATAAAACAATCTCAAAAAATCACATACATACATATCAAATATATTAAATAATAAATACAAATCAAATTATCAAAATATTGACCACATATTTAATATTCTAAATTATCAAAAATAAATAATAATGTACATAATGAAATAAACGGAACGGGTTCAGGGTGAGTTCTAGTGTCTCAATTACCCGACCCGTCCCCATATTTCATAATCGGAGAAAATCCAAACTCAATCAAACGGGTTTTTCCCGTCAACTTCGGGGTGGATTTGGGTGGATACTTGCGGGTACAGATTTTATTGTCATGCCTACTTTTGATTACAACGTCAAACCCCTAATTTACATATCTATTGGAGTATACGATCATGAACAACAAACTCTTGTTCATTTGTAAATTAGTTGCCCACATCTACTTTGACATTAACATGTTTGACATCCATAGACACAATAGGTTTTAGAACAACTTCAAGGTACATCATATCTAAGAAAAATAATAATAGAAAATATTCAAAAAAAATTGCCAAATTTAAACTCTAGACTAATCTAAAATTACACATTCGGATGAATTCAACTAATTTTCATAAATGTATTTTCGGACGCAGACTCACATTTTTTCCAGCTCAAAAACTAGATTAATGTAAGTAGTGAGAAAGTAAATTTACGTACATTATCTTAAATTCTAATTTGTTTTGCTCCTTTTGATGTGAAAAAATAGAGAAATATTATTTTGAAGTAGAAAATTTAATTGTGAGGCAAACATGCAAAGTCCTGTTTTATTGAGGTGTTAAATAAGCAAAATCCTTGAACTTCTTGTCATTGAAGCAAGTTTGGGACTGAGATGAGACAGGGTAGGAACACAAACATTTAATGAGTTTTTTTTATAAAGTAATATGAGATTTAAAGCCTTACCAACAACACATGGTTTTGTCTACCTATACATGCCTTTGATTCCACATGCCATATTCAATGTGACAAAGAAAATCAAATTTCCCTACAAATTTACAGCAACTATATATGTACATCTAGAAGCCACTTAAAAAATGTAAGAGGCAACAAAAATTGTTCACATACTACTCATTGAAATTCTCAAAGAAGTTTGCAGTTTGCTAATAGCACTAATGTCACAGTTCCATATCTCTTCTGTTTTATTCCTTTGGAAACTCCAAATATCTGAGTTCACAATTATTTCCAAACTTGTTGTACATACAATAGATTATCAGAAAGAAAAAAATACACAAATAGTTAATGATGATGATATCAAACAAAATCATGACACACCAGCTACTATAATCAACACATCAAAATCTACAACTAAAAATCCTTACTAAGTGAAGTGAAAGCACATATTTCAGTAATAAGAACCAGTTCCAACTAGTCCCTTATTTTAGTATTCTCATTCACCATGAAACTGTTTAGTATTAGAAAATTCCTAGTATGCTTTAACAGGCGGTATGAACGAAGAGTAGTCGGTTTTCTTTTAAACATTGTCGCTGTTCTTGGCATCGTTATTGCTTACACAGCCAAGTATTGTATCTTCCATCAGGACGGCTAGAATGGCGTCGCCTATTTCAAAACCAACTGTTTCGGCTCCAAATCGAAGATCCATCCATGATCCACGTTTTTCCATGTCTTTCCTAACAATTTTGTCCAACGTGTGTGGCGGGGGAACGGAAAGTAAATACCAACACACTCCTTCCGAGACCATGGAAATAACCGTTTTCATATTTGGAGTTGGCTTTATAATAGGACTTACAAATGATACAAAAGGCGAGGCACCAAAGTAATCGCGACAAACCTCCATGAGAATTTCGTTGATACAGTCATATAGGAGTTTCGGATCACGGCAAAGATGGTTTGGCGATAACTCTACCTGATCAAATAAGGAAGGGTCTAGCATCTTGTCCGACGAAAGGCATTTTATCAACAATTGATCTATTGTTAACCCAGAGGCTTGCAGGACTGCTTCGATGTAATCACATATCAATTCGTTTTCTTCGATACAATATTTTTCTCTTCTGATTTGATTCACAAGAGAAGAATGTTGTTCTTCAAATTGAACATGTAGTGGACGTATCGATACTTCAGCTGAAAATCATGAATTAACATGGTGCCAGATCAAATTTAATATGGAAAACTAATGGTATGCAACTAAGTGAATCGAATCTTATTATACCAACTGAGTCAATGAGTGCTTACCAGGTGCACATTTGGAGTTCCCGGAGCTGGCATCATCCTCTAAGAATGGCGCGTCAAGAACAGACACCGGACTTGGTCGTCCTGATACATCGGAGATAATCTCTTGTTCTTTAGTTTTCGTAGTGATTGACGAATCGGAGGGAGATGATGATTGGTTTTCTTCTGTTACATCCTGCAGAAAGAACAAATGGCAGTTTGAACAAAATTTAACAAATATAAGAAGTCACTCCACCAACGAAAAAGCTGAAAAACAACATTAATTAAATAACGAATTTATGAAAAATTGTGGCGTGGACAAAGATACTACCTGCGCCAAAAATTTAGAACATTTTGTATTATCCGAAATTTCTAAGATATCATCGCTTTCATCCTCATTTTCTGTACTGAGGCCAACTAGTTCTAAGGAAGATTCTAAAATAGTTATCTCTTTCACAGATTCTACATCACCTGCACAAATTAAGAAAAACATAAATAACATAACATATAAAACAAACACAAAAAAAGTTTAATATGGCATCTATCGCGTAAATAATATGTTTTTGAAAACAATACCTTCGGTAACTATCTCGTCTCTAACAGGAGCACAGTTTTCCTCTTTATCGACATGAACTAGGCCGTCTGAGAAATTCGAGTCTGGCTTAATTTCTTGTGATTTAGTGTTAAAGCTTTCATCACGGAGTCTTGTCTTTGCAGTCACAAAACGGTCCTCCCAATTCCTTCCAGGACTACCAAATGGCGAAAAGTTGTAATCGGGAAAAGATATTATTCTTCCAAGGGTTTTGGAAATCTGTCTACTTGACAAGTCCATGTTCTCATCTTCACTTCCTATCATCTCAGAAAGATGTTTCTTAGCCTCGATATATAAATTCGAAACACCTTGTTTGGAGTAAACACCCTTTTCACAATCTACAACCGCTTCTGAATCTTTATTTGTACCGGTTTTGTCTCCTTTAGTAACAACAGTCATAGGTCTTGTGATTTTTTCGATGAAGAAATGATCTTTATTAGGAGATCTCATTCCAACATTGTCTTTACCGAAGTTTTTTCCATGTCTCTCCTTTCCTATAGCCTGCTTTAATTTCTTTTTTATCTCGGTAAGAGAAAAATGTGAACTTCCTCTCATAGAAGGACCGTTGTACTTGGCGTTATCATGAGATTCTAGACACGAGGCAAGGTTGTTTCCAGTTTCGGAATTTTCCAATCCAACGGAACCTGGCTTTAGAATAACAATCCTATTTGAAATGTTGGTATTTCCGTTTTCATTTGTTGAATTTTTCGATTGAGACTTCGCCTTTTTCCTGAAAAAGTTATGCTTCTTGTGGTTGACAATCTCGTTAGTTTGTTCTTTATCGCCGTGATCTTGTTCAGAGTTATTCTCGTTCGCCCGTTGAGAATTCTCAAACTCTTGAACACATTTCAATACAAGTGGATTTGGATTTTGTAGAAATGCAAGAAACAGTTCCTTATCCGAACTTATAAGCTGAAGTGCTTCCATTAGTTCATCGGAGAAAAGAAACTTTCTAGCTTCCACGGGATCTTTACCATTCAACATCATCTGGTTCACAAATTCACGAATAGCATCTCTTGAACATTTTTCGGAAACAGCATGCTTCTGTTTCTGGTTAGGCTGTGCATGCTTTTCTACTTCTTCGTCATTGCCATGCATCATCGAACAAATACCTTTTAGATTACAAAACTCTTCGATTATTGTATCCAGATCAAGACTATCTTTAGATTGCTTCCTCGAGTGCTGACGATGCGAAGTTTCAGATTTCGATGTTGCGTCCAAATTTAAATCATCGGTCATATCACGCTTTTTCTCGTCAGATTTCTTTTTTCTTTTAGAATCTAACTTCAGTAAGATTTTGCGCCTTTCAGAATTATTAATATCCTTCCCTGCATTTCGATCGGTGAACATCTCTTCTTCTATGAGTTTCTTCACACTAGGCTTATTAACAATAGTTCTCACTGTTAGTCTTTTACTCTCTCCATTGTCCTGAAACATTCATGATATAGTGATATCAATAAATCCACTAGCATCTTTTCTTATGTACTAGTTTCAATGTTAACACTTTAGCACCGACATCTCTGAAAAAAAGTGTCCATGTCAGGGTCGAACACTAACACCGAAACTTGATTCATTTTTTCAAATTATTATCAACGCCGATGTGTCAGTGTCAGTATTTTGTCTATGTCTAGTATCTGTGCATGTGTCCTCGTGCTTCATAGGTTGTTAATTAACGGCTATAGGGCGCTATAGCAATAGCGGTAAAGCGGAATTTGAACAAATTGCTATTGTCCAGCGATACAATATTTAGTACTAAATGTTTTCAAATAGCACCTATAGTGACCCTATATCACCAACGTGCAGCTGAACTTGAAAAACAGTTATTTTCTACCATCGGCGATTGACAACACTATTTCGTAAAATTTCATCTTTTGAGTTTGAGAGTTTCATAAGCATATGGACAGATAGACTTACAAAATTTCCTTGACAAACTTCATCTATATCGTTCAACACCTCGAACTTATTCTTCGAATGAACAACACCTATAAGAAAAAAGAATCGCGAATTTCACCACGAGCATAGTTGTCAACTTCACAAAAATCAAACTGTTAAGCAAAATTCTTATCTTACCATCCGAATGCTTACTACTTCGCCTCTTATCTGCAATCAACTTCCGAGTAGAGTGACCATTGCGAAAATCAAACATACTGATAAATCCCCACATACAGCCAGATTTATCTTTCTCATACCGCACAGCTCGTCTTTGCGATTTCTTTGTCATGATGGTTGAACACAATTGACTTCTTTCTATCAAAATTGCAAACCTAACCGATTAACAAGCACATTAAGAAAAACAAACGCGGTAAATCTTAGTTACACAAATCATCATCAAAATCAAAACTCCGAGACAACAAAGAACAATCATACAAAAATAAGACTTGTTTATGCATAATGCATCTAAATTGAGGCATTTTTCATGTAATTTAGCGCGAAAACTAAACAATCACATAGAATTAAAATGAGATTTGCTTCAAGTGAGTACCTCTTATTCCGATCCTTTTGGACTCAACAACGCGGCGGGCGAAGGAACGAAAGACATAGATGCAGCTTGATGAATCAACTCTTGAAGCATCCAACTATTCCAATTTCAATCCTCAAGTTTTCCCAATTTAGTGAAACTCAAGACATTTTAGCTTCCTTTGGTGGAAAAGGTATCAATACCTTAATTCTTAGGACTTTAACCTTATGAATTATGCAGTTCCACAGATAAATCTGAAAATTCCAATAATCTTGATATATTCTATAAAGCTTCAGCTTTCTTAATTGAAAACGAGTCAAAAACTCACACAACACACACAGCTCACTTTTTTATTCCAAAAAATGTTCTGTCAATGATGAAAACGTGATGAAGAAGATTGAAAATCACAACTATGAAGCTTTATACTAAAAATTCTCAAAAGTAACTCAAATCAAATCCAAATTTCCACAATCACCAAATGAAGCATAATTCAGTCTTGAGTTTTCTTAGCTCCTTCAACAATTCAGCCACTGAAACAACATCTCAATCTCAATTTTCACTCAACAAAGTAAAGAATTTAGAAAAGTAAGAAAAGTACTGCATTTTGTTAATAGAATATTGGAATCAAATTGTTCACCACCCAGATGAAAAAATCAAAACTTTTTGAATTGGGTATCTCTAATACAGCAAAAAAGTGAAGAAAGTGGTAATTGAAGACCGACCCATGATTTGTTAAGGCATAATTAAAAATGGGGTAGGCATTGAATAGTGAGAAAAGTAGAGGAAAAAAAAAGATAGAGAGAGAGAGAGAGAGAGGTTTACAATGTTGTTGGATGACACTAAAAAATGGTCGGAGTATTAGTGTAGTACATGACAGTTGAAGATAACAAGGTTGTGGGGTCCACAAAAAAGAGTGTTTTTGTTGTGAGGAACAAACAACAAAGGTTTGGGATGTGTCTATTTCCTTCTTCTCTTGTTTTTTACTTATTTATTAATTAGGTTTCAAAGTTCGAAAATTGATCATAAAAAAAATGTTATTTCATTTCATCACAAAGGAGATAGAGAGAGAGAGAGAATCGCTGATTTGTCGTGTATGCCACCTTTGAATAGAATAACTACGCTTTTTCGGCGTTAAGAATTCGATTATTGTTTTTATACAAGTGATTAATGGATATATATTAATCCTCTCATGACTCATGACTCCACATTTAAATATATAATATATTAGCACAAATTCAATAAAAGAAATATATATATCTTTTATAAATGGAATATTTTATTATATATTATAAAACTTTTAATTTGACTATTGTATTGATAAAATTATTATTTTTAATAAATTGTTTATCAAAATATTTATTTTTTTGTCTAATAGATTAATAATTATAATTTCACTATTTAAAAATAAATAAGTGAGATTTTGTTGATTCGAATTCGTAGGATAATTAAGTGGATCTGAAAAAATCAATTAAATTGAGTATTCAAATCAAACTAATAAAAATCGGTGTGGTTTAGTTCGATTCTTAATTCTAATTTTTAAGAATCATCAAATCGATAAACCGAATTAATGGTTATAATTATATTTAAAAAAATTTATTTCATCTATAGTTAAGTTTAAATTTTGTATTGATCCAACTATTGTCCATTTTGTTTACATTTCCTTCTTTTCAATAAAATATATATTAGAATCAAACTCTAAAACTTAAAAATAGAACCATAAATTACAAAAACATGTTTTCACCTGAATTGTTGCTCTCGTCTTTCACCATCAATGTTGTTTTGTCTAGTGTCACTCTCATATGTTATGATCATCTTTTTCGTGTTCAATTTTTTTTTGTTAGTTTTCATATTCTTTTAAAAAAAATCATTTCTTCTTTTTTAATAAAATTCTATTTAGTTTTGTTACAAAATAATTTTGATGTGTGTTTGAGGTGTGAAACATGTTAATTTATGTGTTAAAATTTTATGTTGTTATTGTTGTGTTTTAGTTGTTAAGCTTTTATCTCTTCCTAATCTTCTAATGATAAGTATCTATTTTTATATTTAAGTGTACTTATTTCATAATTTAATAAAAATGATGTCATTATTTCATTTGAATTAAGAACAACTTTATTTTGTTTGAAAAGATAAAGATGTAATACATTATATAAAATATATTATTTTAAAAAATAGTGATATAAAATACATCAAAAAATATAATAGTATAGAATAAATTAATGAATATAATATTTAAAAAATAAAATTATAAACCGATCAATTAAATTAAATCAATTAATTTGATTTAATCTAATTTTTAAAAATACTAAAAATCAAATCAAATCAACTCAATAAAGATATTATCATTTTAAATATTATTTTAATCAAAAATCAATCTCAATAAAGATATTATCATTTTAAACATTTTTTTAATCAAAAATCAATCTAAATGGAACCAATTAGACCACTGTGAATTCATACTCTTTATATCTTTACGCGACTATATCTTAACTAATTTAACATGCATTAATCAAAATATTCTATTCTATATTATATGCAGTACAAATAAACAATTAAAAATGACATTGTATTATCAATGACATATTAATTGCCTCTCACATGCCATTTTTTAATTTATTTTAAAAATATTATTCCTTAACATTTTTTCTTAGAAATGAAATAGTCTTAAAACCCCTATTATTTGATTTTGGAAATTAAAATAGAAAGATATTCACGATTATACATGAACATCAATCTCTATGATAATTTATAATAATTTAAAACATACACCAAGAGTATATACATTATACGTAGAAGGAATATATGGAATTTATTTTTGGAATAATTAGGTATTAAAAAAAATCACAAATAACTATGTTTCGGATAAAATTACACAAATAACTATGTTTCAGAAAATTTCACAAGGGAGGAGTCAATCCAGTTGACACCTATACCTTATTTTAAAGGGGAGACGCCATCTCACTTGGCGCCTAGGTGTGAAAGGCTTGCCCTAAGCCAAGTGAGATGGCGCCTTAGTGCAATTGGGAGGTAATTTTTCGCGTTTTTTATTTTAAATGTGGTGCGTTACGTAAACGATATAGGATCAACAAAATTGACTTTTTATTTACACAATATGATTACACACATAACGATTACATAAAAAAATACAGATTAATGAGTGGTCCCCTAGAACCCGGTTGAAATTCTGGCAGCAGATACTCAATGTCATAGTGAATGTTATGACACCGCATCTGACTTTCTATAAGACAGTAAATAAAACAGTAAAGAACACAGTCAATTGTTTACCCAGTTCAGTGTGAAACAACACCTACTCTGGGGGCTACCAAGCCAGGGAGGAAATCCACTATAAGAGATATTAATTCAGGAATAAACCAATCAGTTTATCTCCTTCACTTAAGACCTACCCAATGCAACTTCAATATAAGTTTAACTTAAACCTGAGTTCCTACTCACTCCCCCTCAATCACAGCAGTGATACTTAAACAATTGACTAATGAAATAATGAAGACACTCTTCAGAACATACACTTGATTATGCTTCACAGCTTTTTAATCAAGTAACACAAACACTCGTGCTTCACAGCTTTGAGTGATACATAAACCTAACTTGACTTTGCTTCAAAGCTTTAGTCAAGAGACACAAACACTCTTGCTTCAAAGCTTTGAGTGATACACAAACCCTTACAATCAAAACCTATTCCAAGTCACTTATCACAATGATACTTGCTTGGATTACAGTAGTTAAAACTATACAGCTCCTAATTGATCTTCAGTCAAAGAGTTAATTTCCAATCAGCATTCCTGTTGAATATATATATGCAGTTGTTTCTTCAGTTAGGGCTTCCACGAAAAGTTAGGGTTAATTAGGGTTAACCTCAAGACTAGGTCATAAGACTTTATCAACCAGATTAGGGTTGAGCTAAGTTAACCCAAAGTCCACGTGAGATTCTGTTCTGGAAAGAATGAACCAACTTCCTGAAAAATCTCAGAATTAACCAAACTGCATAACTGTTAGATCAGTACAGGATGTCTTAACATTTGTTATGACATCAGAATTCCTGTTTACTGATTTTGGTAGAAGGCAATAAATGTGATCATTGCAAAATGCTCAGATACACACTCATAAACAGTAGCTACTGTATGCCATACTTTTTCTGCATAAAGTACCTAATAATCAAGAATGTTATGACATCAGTCATGACATTCATACACCTGGTTTTACCAAAAATACATGTCAATAACTAAACACTTACAAACTCCCCCTTTGGCAGATTTTTGGCTAAAACCCCTAAGCAATCAGAGAATAGAGAGCAGCAGAATGAATATGACTGCAGAAAAAATATGATGTCTACCAAGTAATTAACACAAAATATCTCCCCCTCTTTAGCCACAAATAGGCCAAAGATACATGTACTTATATGTTATACAGTCATCCAAAATGAGTAATAAAAACAACAAATAAAATCTGAAAACACTTGCATCAACATGAACCAGCATCAGGCTTGTCAACTCCACCAAACTTTAAGCACTGTCATCTTCAGAGGAGCTACTTTCTTCAGCATTGAGCTGATCTTCAGCAGCACCCTCTTCCCTTCTGTTTCCTTCAGTCTCCTCCTGTTCTAATCTGGTAATTAGGTTTTCTAGAGTCTTTTTCCTTGTCTCCAGCTCTTTGCAGGCCTCTTTCAATACAGCTATAACATCAGATGTCTTGGACTGAGTTTTTACAGTTGATGTCTCAGCTGATGTTATGACAATGTCAGGAACATG